TTCATCAAATTTTCCATGTGTTCTTAATTCAATTCTATCAGCTCTAACTTCTTAACTAACCCTTTGACAAGTCAAATTTAACCTCCAACTTCAATTACTAACTCTTTTCCAAGATTTTAATTTGAAACCTCTTATTTTCAATCTCTCATAACTTGATAATCTTTGAGTTTTAATCCATCTTAAGCTTTCCTTAATCTTTTCCATCACTCTAAGAATCAAACCCAACTTTAAAACAAAAGAATTAATCAACTTGGAACCAACTTACCTTTGCCATGGAGCTTAGGAGAAGAGAAGAAGAAGAAGGTTGAACCAAAGTCTCCAGACTTTTCTATTTTCTTTCCTCCATTTCCACGTGTCATCTCCTATATAAAGGAGAAATAAAACTCTTTCTTATAAAATTACTATTATACCCTTCAAAATTTCCACAATTACCATTTAATATAACACTAAAATTTTTCTATTTAAGTCCTCAAACTTTTAACTTGTTTCAAAATTGAGCATAAAGTTTCCAAAAATTCCATTTTAGTCACTAACCCCTATTTTGGGATATTACACCTCTTGAGTCATCTTTAGAGGGCATGTACTATTATGGACATTATTGTTTTGTATTCAGTCGTAACTCTTTTGAAACTCAATATTTTGTATTATTTTGCGGATGTATTTTGGGAGCTCACCATTATTTGTAAACTCAGTTTATTATTATATTTTTTATATTACATTATGAATGTCTAAATTTCAAAGATTTACAAGCAATTTTAAAAGAAAATTTTGGGTCACTATTTCAGCAGTCTTGTGTAATATTGTAATCTATGAATTTTCGAGTCTAACTGGATTAGGGTGTTACATTTAGTGGTATTAGAGTGTCCAGGTTTAGTCATTTCAAAGATTTGCGGGTTAAAGTCAGTGAGTGTCTGTATATGTACATGCATCTAGAGAGTCCAAAGTACTTAAATGACTGGAATGACGATAATAAACCTCTTCTTTTCCTAATTTCATATAGACCCTATGACAAACCATATTATATCTAGGATGGCAAAGACGAGAGTCATGCCTCACCACCACCCAATATTAGTGAGGGATTCGTCTCGAACACCTATGACTGTCAGAATCAGTAATGTGGGGGTCGAGGAGGCTACCTTCTTCAGAGATCTCACTTCCGTACTTAGACAGATAACTAGGTCACTCCCTAGTTTTTCAGTTGCACCACCTCCCTCACCAGTACCCCCAACTTAGCCAGTGCCCATTCCCCAAAAGTCCCCAATAGAGAGACTTTATCGATATAAGACCACCGAGTTCTTCGGTTCAAATGATGATGATTCTATCGTAGCGGATCAGTGCCTCAGAGAGACACTCTATACCATCAGACAGTTACATCTCACCCCAGGGTATAACTTAGAGTGCGCCACCTCCCTACTTAAGGGTGGTGTGATAGAGTGGTGGGAGACTGTAGAGTTGGCGATAAAACTAGTTAGGCCTACTTGGGAGCAGTTTTTCACCCAATTTAGAGATAATTACATCGGACATATCCATACCGATTAATTGATGGAGCAGTTCTTACACTTGATTTAGGGTGACCGGTCAGTGGTGGAGTACGAGCAAGAGTTTTTCCGACTTAGTAAGTATACCGCAGAGCTAATCCCAATTGAGGAGTGTCGCTGCTATCGGTTCAGAGAGGGCCTTCAGGGTGATATTTTGACCCACCTTGCACTACCCATGACCTTGAACTAGAAACAGTAGTGTTCACTTTGAAGATTTGACGACACTATTTTTTTTGTGAGAAGTGTCATATCTTCACCGATCACAAGAGCCTTAAGTATCTTATCACTCAGAAGGAGTTAACCTCACACAGCATAGATGGATTGAGTTTCTTAATGACTATGGCTACGTAATAGATTATCATCCAGGAAAGGTGAATGTGGTGGCAGATGCCTTGAGCAGAAAATCAATGACTGAGTTACGAGCCCTCCTAGCACGTTTGAGTTTATCAAGTGATGATGGTTTGCTTATCAAGTTACGAGTCTACCAAAGTTGGCAGGTGAAATCACGAGGCTACAAAGTTCAGATGACCAATTGAGAAGTCAGATCGAGCAGGTTCGTCAGGGTGAGGTGAACCTCCATCTCCTACAGTTGGACTTACAAAAGGAGTGTAAGTGCAATCAGATGAGTGAGAATAACATGAACAAGTGTTAACTTGAACCGCTGAAAATGAGCGATTATGTTGAGTTGAAAACCCTTTGAAATTTTGATCAAACCTGTGCCAATATCGGTCTACTAGGTGACCAAATTTTTCAAAGTTGACATTGCTGCTTGGGCCTTCCTTTGTACTTGCTGCCAGTATTATTATTATTAGAAGTCTTCGATCCCTCATATTGTTGATTAACAAAACTAGCAAAGGTATGATCAGTACAGTAACGAGTAAAATTCACTCCTATTGGAAATCGGGAGGTGTCTTCAAAGTGAGATTAAGCGTCAATAAGGATAGACACCATATCGTCCAAGGAAAAAGCTCTCTACTAGCTCTAATAGCTGCAATTGTTGATTCATACTCAACAGGCAAACCATTAAGAATGGTAGCAACATGATCTATTCTTAAATAGAACTACCACACGTAGCTAGCAATTCACATATCTGTTTAATGGCCATTATATAATCCCTCATGGATTGTGTGCCTTTTTTCATTGATCTAAGACGACAATGCAGAGCCATTATTTTTGTTGTAGAGAGTTTAGAATATAACCTGGTGATGGCACTCCAAACTGCTGCTGTGGATTCAACACCAACAAATGAGGAAAAATGTTGGGACTAACAGTCGAGAGAGGCCAAGAAGCTAACGAGCTATCTTGTTTGACATAAGTAGACAGGTTGGATTAACAACTTCCTCACCATCTCTATTAAGTGCCGAATTTTCTGGAATCGGCGTGGACGCATAAAGAAAACCTTCAATCCCAAGCCCTAAAAGCGTAAGGATAACTTATTGTTTCCACATAAGATAGTTCGAATCAGTCAAGCACACATTAATCCTCTTGTTAGCAAACGCATTAAAGGCAGCGTCAACCATTTGTTCATCATCAGTGACATTGCAGACTACTGCTGGTTGCACCATAACTAAAACAATGGATCTAATACCAAGAGAAAAAGAAGTAGGCAAGAAGAAGACGACTACACGCAGCGAAGTAAAAATCACGACCTTATGGCGAAAGATACCATGTAAAAGATAGAACAATGGGGGTTATAATGTGAAGCAAGAAGATGATATGAACAAGAATGCTTCTCAGAATTGCTTTAGTGAATAAAGCCTTATTTTTCTTCTACAGACGCTTGGCTATATAAGAACATTACACCAAAGCGTCCAGCTGTTATAACTGCATAACAAACTAAGCCACATTTTCAACTGAACCACGTGTCACTAACTGCCTAGCTATACATTCATCAGCCCCTTCATCATCCATCGTGGATGTCATGTCAATACCATGGATCGCCACATCAACATCGTGAACTGCAGCGTTAGTACCATAAAGTGTTACATCACATCATAACAATCAACGACGAAAACTATTGATCAAATAACCATTGAATTCTTTTTTTAAATTCAAGAGTGACATTGAATAAAAACAATGACGAGAACTATATTGATTTTTTTTAAAGTACGAGGGCCTCCTTTTACCTAAAATAAAGTGGATATCCTTATACCTAAAATATATTACAATAAATAAAATATGTACCAACCTTTTAATTTTGTTAATAAAGTGTAATCCTAATACGAGTCGTATGTTAGTGGATGGAGGCTAGGGGGGCCATTGTTTCTCCCATGCTCTCAAGTGCATTGCTCCCCTCATTATAGCTTCCTTGTTAATTTAACTAGTTTAGTACACTTTTTTTCTAGAACATAGTCTTTTTTTATGTTTATTTTATAATTTATATTTTAGATTCATCCTTCTAATAATATTATATCTAAGGGTCAAAATTGAATTCTTTTCTTAAGAGTATAACATACCCTAATGTAGAATACATAAATAATCACTAAAGTGTGTTAAAAATAATCTTTTTGGTCACTAAAATTTCAAAAGCTATATAATGCTCTTTAAATTTTATCAAACTATTATAAAATGATTCGTAAACTTAACATGCAATGATCATTTTGTAACAATTCATAAGTTTAATAATTATTTTTAGTTTCTTTAGTGATAAAAAATAGTTCAGTATCTTATGACATTATTACCTAACACATTGGTATCAGTACATGGAATATAAAGCAACTAAGAATACCAGTACAAGTGCATGCTGATGGAAAATTCGGCAATCTATTTTATGATTTGGTTGGTGGAAGGAGATATCTATTTCTATTGGCAAATATGATTTGCAATAAAATGGGATGGATTTACAAGTTGAGGGTATCATTGTATCATGAAAGAAAGCTCGTGAGCTTTAACTTTTATTATACTTTGATTATTAAAAAAAAACAAGTACGGAGTGGCATTAATAAAGTAGGCAAAATTAAAGCAGAGAAAGTTGTGGATCCCCTCCCTTCTTTTCGTTTAAAAAGAAACAATATCTGATGTCTAAGCACACACCTACATTAAAAAACAACATACAACACAAGTTTTATTTGAATTTGATAGAGTTAATTTTTTTATTTTAAAATATAAATTCAAATGGATTGAATTTGAATTTAGAGTAAAAAAATCGATAGTCTTGATTTAATATAATATTATAATTATCACTTATATCGGGAATAATTATAATAATATCTATTTTTATATTATTTTTTGTGTTCAATCATATCTTTATTTTATCAAATAAAAATAAATTATATATATTTATGCTGGGTCAAATCGAAATATAAAAATTGAATTAAAAATCAACTTAGGTTCTATGTTAAGTAAGACCTCCTAAATCCAACTCGGATGGAATATAGATAAAAAAAATTAATTTTTAACTTAAATTCAGATAGAGTAAGAGTCCAATATAATCCGACCCGACCCATTGTATCCTTATTCATAAGTGCCTATGCTGTCCAATATAACAAGGGAAACAAAGAGAGAAACACAAACAAGACAGCCATGAGAGGACGAGAAACCAAAGGAGTACCTTCAGCAGATTTGCTAGTATGTCTACCGTCTCGAGCCCGTTTAACATTGGTGCGGAAGCCAATTTGTAGCCCCACGAGACCATCGGAATCCAACAAGCACCACCGCAATCACCAACATCACCTCCATTACCACCGCCGTCTCCTCAAGAAATCAAGCACCAGAAAGGGTAGTGGAGCTGGGAGCCACTCCAGCCCTTTGCTTTGGGCTAGAGACAAGCAAATAGGACCCGACAGTACCGAACCAACCTCCCCAAAAGTCACCTGTTCAGGGCAGATCAAAGTCGGTTCTAAAACAAGTTCATGCAAAACCTGGCAATCAGTCATGGAAGAGATTGAGAAAATTCACAACAGCAGGCATCGTAAAAGGAGGCCAAGTTGGGTGGAGTCCTTTGGTTTCAAGAAAGAAGTCGTGCAATTCTTAACGTGTTTGCGGGGCATTCGTTTCGATTTTCGATGCTTCGGCTCTTTTCCCCGATCCGACATCACTTCTGATGACGAAGATGAAGATGAAGAATACCAAGAAAATCGCGACCATGAAGATGAGGACGAGACCTCAGGAGCCATATTTTCCAAATGGCTCATGGTGCTGCAAGAGAATCACGACAACGGGGTTTATAGAGAAGAAGAGACGAGGGTCCACGATCCTGTTGTTGATGATGATGAAGCTGCAATTCCACCTCCGAATGCACTCTTGCTTATGCGTTCTAGGTCTGCTCCTGCTATTGCTAAGGCCAGGCAAGAAGAGAATGAGGAAGATGAGAACAAAACAAACAAGTTGGATCCATTAATGGAAGAAAAAAGAGAGCTTGGTGGTGACGGGATACGAGTACGACTGTGATTTCTACAAAATTTCAACTGAAATTGCCAAAGAAACATGGGTTGGTAAAATGAAAGACCCATTGTGCCGAAGTCGAAGCTGGAAGAGTTGACAACGATTACCCCAGTGACTTAATTCTCTTTTTCTTGTTCATTTCATAAAGAATAAAGTTTTATCTGTGCTTTAATTTTGAATTTCGATATGAATGATTTACAAGTCTGTATCTTTATCACATAATTTGTATGTACAGCTTTCCTGAGTTATTGTTTCAGTTCCTTTTGATATTGAATTGCAGGCGGTTCTTCACCTCCTTAGATTATGATTTAACTCGTCAAACTTTAAAGTCACAATGAAAATAGAACAGAAGCTTAAAGTGATTCTATATCATAATTTCCGGCTAGATAGACTTAAACTATTCAAAGTATGTTTGCCCATCGTGCTTTTCATCATTCTCCGCCACCTTTTTCTCTGTCATTATCACTGCCCACCATTAAACTTTAGTAAATGTCATTAGAAATTATATGAAGGGTAATTTTCGTAAAATAAAATTAGATCCCTGTTCCTTTTATTTTATAGGTAAATTACACCGTTTCTCATTGAATTTAAATTTCTCTTCTATTTTGTTCACTTAACTTTTAATTTTTCTATTCTACTCACTGAACCTTTACAGATTAAACTATTTTTCTCACTCGAACGTTAAGCTTGTAACAGCTGGATTACATGACATTTTTTATTAATATATAATGATGATATATATTTTTTATTAATATTTAATTATGACATGTAATATTTAAGATAAAATAAAAAATTCTTAAATTTTATTCCTAAACCCTAATCCAAAACTATAACCCCACCCACCCCACTCTCACCCTCTCCCTCCAACTCCCACCGTGTTATTGTCTATCTATCATGGAAACCAGAGTAAGCATCTTAAAAGTAAAAGGGAAAAGGGAATTTAGTAACATGAAAGAAGGGGAGAACTTAGAAGCAACAAAAGAAAAAGTCAAAAGCAACAAAAAACACAGAGAAATTAAAAGCAAAAGAGTTTTTGGAAATGAAAGAAGGGGAGAACACGAAATTTAAAATGCTTACAAGTTGATCTCAAATTTAAGAACAATTGAAGAGGCAACAAGGAAATCAAAAGATTCAATGCTAGATCCATGACCGACATGGTGCTCGGCTGTCGCAAACGATGGTCAGAGTTCAACCACATTGAAAGAAAACGAAAGAGATGAAAAGAAAAAGAAGAGACGAAAAGAAGGGAAAAGAAGGATTTTTTTTTATTTTATATATAGGTACAAAAACAATATCGTTTTAGTATAAATTTAATTTTTTTTAAAACGACATTGTTTTGATGTCGTTTGCCATGTTATAACACCATTAATTATTTAAGAGTGAGGTGATCAAAACAGGAACAATATCAAAATTCAATGAGTCAAATAAAAACATCAAATGAAATTGTATATTGTTCATGTTTGTGTTTTGTTTTTCATATTCAAGAGGTTATAAATTTATATAAAATTTTATGTTTTAATAATTTATTTATGTTGATTTTGTCACCTTTAGGTGTTCTTATCGTGTCAATGTTATTCATTGTTTACATTTATATTCGTATTTTTTATATTGAGAGAATTATAAATTGTATGTATTTTTATATAGATTTTTCTATTTTGTTTACTGGATTTTATGTAAATTTAAATATTTTTGTGTATTTAAATTCATCAACTTTAATAATTAAAGAAAATATTGTTTTCCCTATAGGTTTTAGATTCAAATAGTTACATTATATGTGTATTGTTAATGATCTAAAGAAAATTTAAATATATATTATCTTGTTATCATCTTGAACTATTTAATATACATATATAAGTGTATTTCTGGTGTTCTTATATTGTTTTTTATGATGTATTGTTTGTAGGGATGGGCATGGGTCAGGTTGTGTCGGATTTTTGATCCACCCGAACCGACCCGAGAACAAAGAATCTTCCACTGGAGATCCAACCTGACCTGAACAAAACAAGATTTCACCCAACCCGACCCGCCCCAAAATAATAATAAAATATTATTTTTATTCAATAAAATAGTGACTTAATTGAAAATAATAATATATAGAGGGGTATTATTGTAATTATTCCTAAATATATAAGGTAAAATTATATATTTTTCGGCTCGGGTATTTTTCACCCTAAACCCGAACATCACATTTAAAAAACCCGGCCCAACCCGATTGGATTGGGTCAAAACCCTTTGGATTCGGATCTCATGCCCATCCCTAATTGTTTGCATAAACTATCATAATGACTTAATTTACATAATAAATCATATTTAGGTAAATTACGTGTTTAATACTTAAATTATCAGCTTTGGTCAGTTTTGGTATCTAAATTTTCAATTTTTTCAAAACCATAACTAAATTTTATTTTTTTCATTTTAGTACCCTCCATTAAAAAATTTAATTTTTGTTTCATTTTAATACCTCAATCAAAATTTAACATTAAATTTTGAAAATATTGAAAGTTTAGGTACTAAAACGAGTCAAAACTGATAGTTTAGTATATAGTAAATCGTTAAGTTTTTAACGGTGGGTACTAAAATGAAATAAAAATTTAACGTTAGGTATAATTTTAAGAAAACAAAAAGATTAGATACTAAAATGAGCCAAAATTAATAGTTTATGTATTAAATGTGTAATTTACATTGTCGTATTTGTATTATCTTATAATTTATCTCATATTTTACGTAATATTTAATAGGGATCGACTTTGAGGGGAAAAATAAACCTCCCACAATTTCAATTGAATTTGTTTGTCTAAAACAATATGAAATCGTTATCAATAATATTAAAATAAAAAAATAAATAATTTAAAATTTTGCAATTTGCAAACAACATAATTATAAGAAATATTTAATTTTTACTAAAATAATAAAGAAATTTTACAATATAAATTTAGCACCTATAAGGTTTAACACTATAAATTTAGTACTTAATTTTGAGCACGCTGTTTATGCGACAGTTTATTCAAACAGAGGCGGACGCTGTTTGTTGAGGTGGGTGCGAGCCTCAAACAATGCCCTGACTACTTCATCATCCCCAGGTGTTTCCCTTATCAATATCTCATAATCCTGGATTGCCACTTCCTATCTCTCTAGCTGCTTTTACATAAATAACAAAGAGAAAATAACTTCAGTGACCAAAAATCCCATATAATATACGATTTTAACCAACTTTTTCCGGATTTGTCAAAATGACCAACAAAATCGCAATGCGATCGTTAATTCGCAACGCGATCTCCATTATCGCAAATCAGTTTCCAGATTCGCAACGCGATTATGACTATCGCAATGCGATTTTCCAATTTCGCGTTGCGATTTTCCCAATTCGCAATGCGATTCTGACTTTCGCAACGAGATTCTGACTATCGCAATGAGATAATACATAATCGCAATGCGATTTTCAAAGTTCGCAACAGGTTTTAGTTTCGCAACACAAATTTTTTGTGTATATATCTACGCAGCAGCAACAACTCATAACCTAAATCCCTAAATCGCAATTCATTCCATCTCCATCTATCACTCTCTCCGGCGACATCCGTTCCTATATCCGTTCCTACATCCTTCCCCATTCGACAACAGGTCTTAGTTTCGCAGCTCGTTTGTTTAGTAAATTAATTTACAACCATGAAATCATCTAATGTTGATCATTTTTGGATAGATTTATGTTTTGGAGGGTCATAGGAGAATGTTCATGGTGTTTTACAATATATGCCTTTACCCATGAATCTTCAACTAAAACTGTCATTAAAAAAGTTAACTTATGAAACTCTAATGTTACGTGTTTCAAAGAAATTGAATTTAAGCCCCTAAGTGGATTTAGGCTATCTTATCAGAGAAATGGTAAAGTTTATTTGTTAACCGACAATGAAGATGTTGAACGGTTCATTGCTTACATTAGTGTTTCAAGTGATGATGTTACATTGTATGTTGTTGAACCTAGAAGTAGTATTGTTGGGTCAGTAGCGGGTAGTAATCAACTAAGTTTTTCTCAAAACCCACAACCTTTCTCTAATCCAAATCCCAATCAACTTTCAGCACCAAATTCCGGTTTTCGTATTGACCAATTAGACGATGATGAGCCAACATAAAAAATTGTGAGTACTAGTCAGTATTCGAAATTTGATCTTGGTCAATACCCGGACTTTGATATTGGTCAATACTCGGATTTTGATGATGTTTCAGAAGAAGAAACAGACCCTGCGTGTAATGATTTTGTTATTGGTCAATACCCGAATTTTGATGATGAAACATCCGTTGCCGAGGAAGATGTTGTTGATGATAATGAGGAGGAAGTTACGACTGTGAATGAACATGTTGAACATCCATTCTGTAATTCATATAATCCTGAAGAAGAAAAAGAAGAAGAAAAAGTCCCCGAAGAAAAGAAAATGCCACGGGAGTTTAACTGGAATATGCCAGAATTACTTCAGATACCGGAAGAAGAGTTGGTAAAGAAAGCAGTTGATTGTTACACAGAAGTTATTCGTATCAAGAAAGATGATTGTTTTGATACAAAGGAAGACTTGAAGATAGCTTTGTATACGAAATGTGTGGAAGATGGCTATCAACTAAAAGTTAACAAATCAAGCAAAGATCGTTTCGAAACAAGGTGTATGATTGACAAAAACTGTACGTGGCGTATGATTGCAAAGAGGATAAAAGATTGCGAAATGTTTCAAGTTAGGACTTTTATTGATAAACATACATGTTCAAGAACCCAAGTTTTTCCTCACCATAGACAGGCAAACAAAAAGGTGTTGGGTGGTTTTCTGGCTGAGTTAATGTTTTTGAATGGCAGGGTATATCGGGAACATGAAATTATGACTGACATGAATGCTCGGTTCAAGATTAGTATATCATATTCTCAAGCTTGGAGAGCCAAATGTTATGCCTTGGAATTGTTGAGGGGGTCGCCAGAAGCATCGTTTGCCCAACTGCCGGCTTATTGTCACAATTTAAAGCTGAAAAATCCTGGGTCGGTAACTCATATCAA